TTAATTTATTCTTTTAGCCCATTATTTCGGAAAAAGAAAGTGGGGCACAGGGACTCAAAAGAAGTGCACAATTTGCAGCTTCGATGTTGGAGTCAAACAAATTGATGAGAGCTTTCCTTGTTGGAAGTGACGACCCCAGTAAGCCAGCATCTGTTCCTTTTGATGGCAACAAAGAGGTCAAAGTGCAAGATTGTGAACATGCTATTTCATTTGAAAAAGAAAACAATGAAGAAACTGTTCTCTGTCCTGTTGAAAGCTACAATAATATTAAACAAAAGGATTCCACTTTGTCTGAAACAAATCCACAGAATAGTGTTGCTAAGCTAAAAGAGGATGACCTAATAAATATTTTAACACACAGGGATATTGGATTTATGAAGTTTGATGCCAAAGATGGGCATTCTATAACTGCATTTTGGTTCAAACGATGCCTTCTGAATGGACAAGAGGTCAATCATTTCTGGTTGGTCTATTCACCTCTACATAAAGCAGCATACTGCTTTTGTTGTCTTCTTTTTTCATCTACATGTATGACATCCGATAGTTAGTCTGCTTTCAAAACACAGGGTGGATTCTCTAAGTGGAAAAAAATTGAAAAGTTAAATGACCATGAAAATAGTGACAGTCATCGTGAGTCATTTGCTGCTTGGAAAGAAACTGAGCAACGAATTTGTCTTCAAAGTGGCATTGATGAAGAGCTCCAAAGGCAAATTCAGCAAGAAAAAAATAAATGGAGAGATGTACTGAGACGGTTGCTGGATTGGACACAATATTTAGCTTCTCAAAATCTTGCATTTTGTAGTCATACTGAAGACATAATCTCAAATGAAAACCCTGGAAATTTCCTGTCACTTTTGCAGTTATTATCAAAGTATGATCCAGTAATGAGAGAGCATTTAGAGCGTGTTAAAAACAAGCAAGTGTCAACATCTTATCTTTCTCATGAAATCCAAAATGACTATAAATCTCATGGCTTCACATATGCAAATTATTGTTTGTCAGCAATTCGTAGAAACAAATACTATGATATTCTGTTTGATTCCACACCTGATTTAGCCCATCATGAGCAATTGGCCCAAGTGATTCGGTTTGATGACATTGACTTTAAGACAAGAATAGTAGAAGTCAAAGAGTAATTTATTTACTTTATACAGATAAAGGAAAAAGATGCTGCCTATTATT